AATAAATATCTTAGCCAAACCATAAATTTGAATATTTATGAATGTTTAACAAATTACAATGTGAACGTTTTAAAATATTTTTGAAAATTATAAGAATTCAGAAGGTCAACAACCTATCTCGAAAACTAGTCATAGAAGAACTTTGTGTCCATGGACACTTTTAATTAGGAGGTCAAAATCAACATAAAATTTAGTACATTAAACCGAAAGTCATTTGGCATAAGGAAACTGCATAGTTCTTTTGCTAGAGTATTTAATAATTATTATTCATAAGAGTTATTTAATAATAATTACATACTATTAATACATTTTTGATTGTTATGCCGCTGCGTTTTTAAATTCATGACCATCAGCCCTAATAATATTATGATAGGTCACATGACATGTAACATTTAGGCCCTAAAAAAGTGTACTTAGTCCTTATCTGTAACAAAAACGGTATATAAGCCGTTTTTATACAATAAAAACGTTTAAAAATTTTATTTAAAAACATAACTATGTTTGTAAATCAAATAACGCAGTAATAATGGCGGAATCACTTTTACTTCTATTTTCTTTTTTTTTCTTATATGCGTTATCTGCTGTGTTTAAGTCATCTTGTTTTTCACTTTGATTTATTCTGTCTCTTAATCATTGAAATCCTTAATCAAAATTTCTAATTTGTCCTATTTGCCACATGTGTCATTGTGAGGTGGACGAAATGATATGTTAAGCTCTGGCACAAAAACCTTTCTATAAAAGTTCAGAAAAAGGACTTTTTTGATCTCTTTGCAGTTGTAAGGTGGTGGAGGGTAGATTTTTCAACAGTACCTAGGCCTCATTGCGGCCATTGTGCATCCTCCATGGAAATATAGGACCTGCCTTTCAACTTTTTAAAAACCTGATGGTTGTCGCTGAGGGGTGCCTAAAGACAGCCATTTTCCCAGCTCGACAAAGTCCTACAGGTTATCAACTCATCAAAACCTCCTGGTTGTCGCTGCATATTCAACTCCTGTAGATTAAGAACGTCGCTGACAGGTGTCTCTGGATGTCCTATTTTAAAAGTGGCCATTTAGTGGGCTTCTATCACTCCGATGGTAAATGCCCAGGTAAAGCCATTCTGTCCGTACAAGGGCCTAAATAACAGATTAAACAATAACTTAAAAAAATAATAAATACATATATATTTCACTTAGGTCTGGCTAAATTATTATACGTGAGATTAAAAATGGCCCAATATTTTAAAAGGAATTTAACCTATGTCATTGTTAAGCCTTTTAAGAAAAATTAAGAAAAATGTTTAAAAGGCATCTATGCCTATTGTATCTGTAACGTGTGGAGGGTGGGTTTCCCCACGGAACATATGCCTCACTAGGCCCATTGTGAATCCTCCTAAGTTGATAGGCACCTCCTAGCTCGTGAGCCAACCTGCAGCTTTGATGTAGCCAACGTCACCAAGAGATGCTTCTCTTATATCGGCCGGTTTAGCCGTCGTTAGCTCGTCGAATAAAAATCTAATAAATGAGAGCGTCGGGCAATCGCAGATGATGTGCTTGATGGACTCATCTACTTGTTAGTACCTCCTGCAGAGTGTGGATTCTGACACTCCCATGCTATGTAAATGCTTCCGTACTTGGCAATGACCAGTCAGACGCAGATTCTGTTCATTCATAGTAAAATATTTGTTTTTCTGTAATGTTGTCAGGATAACTTAAAAGCACCCTGGCAACTCTTCAGCTTCTTATTTCGTCTCATCTTTCCTTGAATTTCACAAGATAACGTTCTTTAATTAGGTTTGTCACTACCGATATTGTCAGTCCAATGAAAGGACCAGTTCCAAAAAGTAGTTGGTTTGCTGCTTTCTTGGCTAGTGATTCAGCAAGAGATTACCTTTCGATGTGGCGTGACCTTGGGCGTGATCTTAAGGTAACCAAATTGTTGATGGATACTTCGTTTAATGCTTCGTGACATTCTAGTACTAACCCTGAGTAAATTCGTGGTCTTTCCAGGGTGAGTAGTGTTTGGTGAGTAGTGCTTGTCTTAATTAATTCCCTTTAAAATTATTTTTTTTTAAATGTTGTAGTGTTTTATTATTTAATTATATATTAAATCTCTAATAATATGCATTTCCCTAACTAGTAAGAACTTTTTAAATAAATTTTTACGAATTTCATAGAGATCATTTTTTTATGTTTTATAAATATCAGGTAGCAAATTGATGATGATGTTAAACTAAGCAAACTATTTACGTATAGTGTAAACAGTATGGGACCTAGGATAGTTCCCTGAGGCACACCATATTTTATGCAGGAAATATCACTGTATTTATCTTTAATTTTTACTCTGAGTGCGTTGATAACTTGTATGGTATGCTTCTACTTCCTATGTCTTCCAAGGTATCAGGCAGCTGATCATGTGAAACCGTGTCAAATGCCTTGGCTAAGTTAAGGAATAAAACTATTATAGAAATACCCTTATCTATTAATTTGGATGTTAAATCAGCTACCGCATCTATTGTTGAAACGCTCGTTCCCTTTTCTAAAACCGTATTGTTTATGTATGTATTTTTTTTTTAATTTGGTTGTGTTTTGGAAAACCCGTTTATGTATTTAATAAATACTTTGTATGGCATAATCATAATATATTGTAATGATATCATACTGTATATCATTTACTTTTTTTTTTATTATTATAAAAATTATTTACCTCGGCTTTCTTTTTCTTAATCTCAGGGGTGTTTCAAAATTATTCAGAATAACACTTGTTTTATTTTGTTTTATCTTCTTTTATTTATTATATTTTAATTTATTTAATTTTTTTTTAATTTTATTTCAATCTTTTTTAACTATTATTTAAATTTTATTAACTTTCATTTAAAATTTATTTAGATTCTTTTTTTATTTAAATTTTATTTAATTTTATTTTTTTATTTTATCAATTTGTATTTATCAATAATCAAAAAAAATAAAACTTATGCCTTGACTTATTTTACTACCTGTATGTTCTATATTCAATAAACAAATTTTTAACACCAGATTACAATATTTATTTCAAACACAATGTTAAATAGGTAAATCCCAATTTTACAAATTACCAAAATACCCATGTATTTACATTCATGGGGATACTAAATTACTAAACCTAAACTACTAAACTCATTCGCTCACCATTTATACCACAACTATACTATAACCTAGAATTAAAATCTACAAAAAAATATAACTACCAACAACGTCTTTTCTCACGCAGTTTGTTAAAAAGTGATCAATAGTGATTAGTTCGTAAAATTGTTACTCACTGTTGTATTATTATAAAATTGTCTATTTCCAAAAGTATGTTTTCACCATCTTTGATTTATTTCTCCTCTGTGTTTCTTTGATATCTCTCCGGAATGCAGTTAGATATGACTTTCAGTAACCATATTGTACCTTATAACTTCCTACTTTATACAACTATATTTATGTATCTGAGTATATAAATTTGTTTATTCAATGTGTTTTTATAATTTCTTTTCCCGATTTTTTAAAATAAATCTTTTGCCAAAAATAATTTTGACATCGCTATCTTCAAAATTGACATTCAACAACTTTCAAAAACTGTCTCCTCCTTTGATATCCGATTCAACATAAAAATTGATATACAGGGCGTACTTATAATTCAATTCATTAATAAAAAAAAATACTGAGTGATACATCTAGGAATAAGTTGAATTTTAAAATTTATCATACATTTTGATTATTAATAAATTTTCACTTTAACAACATTATAATATATTGTAAATGAATAAAAAGCTTGGTTTATTTACAATGTTCTATTAAAAAAAAAGAGCACAGAACTGTTCAATAAACATTTGCAGTTGTGTATTTGATATTCGTCTTCACTAAATCAATATTTGTCAACAATAATTTTTTATCGATCTGACTTAAAAATAACCATGATGTGGGATTTTTTATAACTATGTTCTTTTAATAAAAAAAAAAAACATTCTTCATCCAACTATCTCCGTTAATGAGATAAGTGATCATATTGGAAAACTCATGTATTATCTCCGCAGCTCTGAAAATTGCAATTGTTCCAATGCCAGTTGATTGCTTCGATTTTTACGATGTCAATTCATATTCTTTATGATTTCTCAGAATAATGTCCTAGGTATATAGGTAACTTATCTTCGTTTTCGCTATGATTAAAATCTGTGTTTCTGATCCTATACTCAGCAATACTTTTTCTATTTGTAACGTACTTTAGTAAGATTTTAATGATTAAAATATTGCTTGACGAGAGCTTCATATATGAAATTTATTGTCAGGATTCAGATTTAAATGCAGTTTAGATGCTCTTGTAATAAAAAATGTTGGGAAAATGAAATATGAAAATAAGAGTATTACAGTTTAACACTAATGGGAAAAACTTTATCTTACAATCCATACATAGTTTTTGAAATGGATACTACAATAAATATGCGAGCTTTGATTTTACTTAGTTATTGTAAAATGGCGTTACTTTTTGACTTCTGAATTTCACTCAACCAATAATTAAGATATACTTGTAAATTTGCTGTGAAAACAAGTGATTTTGGCCCAATGCACATAAGGGAGCACATCATTATTTCGCACGACAACGTCCTTGCATTGATAGTTCAATTTTATAATAATTTTGGGATAGTAAATTTACATGAAAATTTACATAAATATATCAGACATAAATATATCAGATCAGTAATCAATAAGTTTTTAGGTCAATTTCCGAATCTTTTAACACTGTTTCATCCAAATGTGCTAGAAACATTCTCACTAGAAAAAACAGTGGTATAGGTAGTTATAAAGTTGCGGATTAAATTGCCCAACCATCAAATTAAAAAATTTCTTGAATGAAATTAAACTGGACAAAGCAACGGATATTTTGATTAACGCACCAAGGACAAATATAATTTCTTTAGTTATCGTTTTACGGGATATGTCATAGAGAATATCATTATTAGGAACAAAACATTAAAAATCATAATATCCATTTTTTTTTTTCAGATAATTGATTGGAATAATAATGGTCGAGTGACAAAAATGTGCACAGCTAGACCAGGATGGCAAACAATGTCCTTTAGACGCCCACTTTACAAAAAACATATGACAAATATAGAAGTTAATTTGGTTGATATTTTAGAAGTAGATGTTCAGAGGAGGGTAAGTTTTAAAATATTTTAGAGGATTAAGTTATTACTGGTTTATTCATAAAGAAATAAAAAAAAACAAAGCAAAACCTTAAAAAGTTTAACCTACAATCTCTGTTGGAAAAGAGGTTTCACCGGATTGGAAAATGTTTGTATTAAATAGTAAAAAAAACATATATACCATTCGTCTCTGCCTGTCTGTTCGTTACACCTACTTTTTTAACTCTGACTCCAACAGAATGTTTTTTTAAATTATATACGGATCTCTATTTTTGAGAGTATAAAGACTCATTTAACCTTTGTACCAGTTTTACCATGCTGTTGCGCTATCACGTTAGTGACTATGGTTTAGGAGCATGAAAAGGGAGAAAAAGTAATGTTACTTGTCAAGGTCATTGACTAAGGCCGAAAAGAACTATACGACTACGAAGAAGGAGTGTTTAATTGTTCCCTGCAAAAACAATGTCGTCTGCGGATTGAGGGTCCAAAGTTTACTGTTGTAACGAATCATTATAGCTAAAAATGACTAATAATTATTAAAGATTCTATGGACCGCATAGCTAGATGACTTCAAAATCATCGCAAAGGGTAGGAATACGTAGTCGCAGACGCCATTTACCGAGTCTTATCTATATGATGTTACTGATACGATTGACAATCAACACGATAAAAGCGAATGAAGAATATGTTTGCAAGGGTACAACAAGATCATGAAAAATTTCCTCTCTAGCGTGTTTTGGATATGAAACTACAAAATAGCCAATTTGAGGTTCACCGATCTAACCAATTGTCAACGAATAGAGTGGTTAATGGCAGCGCAACGAGGTGATCAAAATGCATTATGATTCAGTCTTAGGTGGTCACAGGGGTATTTTTAAAGCGTTAAGCAGATTATCCTTATATTTATCTGGCCCAAGATAAAATACGATGCAGCTTGCTACATAAATCGCTGCATAATAAACCTTTTCGATCTCTTATGTATTAATAAAACAAGTATTCACAACCAATTAACATCCTCCAAGTAACCCTGTTGAAAGAGTGAATCGAGTTGTAAAGAAAATAATACGTTGCTATGTAGAACATGGGACAATAATCTTTCCAAGATAGGTTGGACAATATGTTCAGCACATCATGAAGTGACTGGTTTAACCCCTAATTTTATTGTATTCGGGCGTGAGCTACAAATCAATGTACCCCTCTCAATGATGTACTCGATTTCGATAGAAGTGAGGAATTCATATGTCCTTTGAAGAGGTTTATAAAATGTTTCTAATCGCTTAAAGAAGGATTATGAGAGTAGCAGTAGAACGTACAACCTAACACACAGGTCTAGTATATTCACGCTAACCAAAATGTGTGAATACGAAATTTTTTCTTATCTAATACTTTGAGACTTTTCACATCTAAGTTAAAACGTAAGTATGTTGGACCTTACCAAATATGTTTTCTATGAACTGCGAGATACAGATGGTCGATAAATAGGTATTTATCACGCCAAAGATCTAAAATCTTATCCTCCAGATCTAGATGATACATACAGATCCTAAAAAGACCCTGAATATCAGAACGAATAGATTAATTAATATGTATATAATAAAAAAAAATAAATTCTAATTCACAAAAGAAAAACTCAAAGACCGTGTCACAGGAACAACGAGCAACCATTTACCTCCTGAAAAACAACTACTTTGGATAATATCGCAACAGGCATTGCATTATATCAAAAGGCGAATAGAAAATATAGAAAATAATTTTCAATACTCTAACTCTAAATTTGCTTCCTGAGGAGAAAATTATTCTTGGACCGATTTCGTTATTAGGACTCATCAGCAAGCATTAGACGATTTTGACTTCAGTCTCTAATGAAATCTGCCTGATGTGTTACTTTCACTCGTGACTGGTGAATGTTAATTTATAATCTATTTTTACTTCAAGGAATTTTACAGATTGATTAATATTTATCTTGCTCTAATCATGAATTTTGTAATGTAATGCTCGCGGCAGGCATTACATTACAGAGTTCAGTTCAAGTCAGTCGCCGCTTTAATGGAAAAAGCTATAATTTTAATAGGCAAGCCAAAAAGTATTGTGTTAGAATGGTCCCATGACCAACAAAGACATAGATATAAGTCATGACCGTAATAAAAAGATACCCACACCTCTGATTAAAATTAAAATTGTCAGGAATTCTAGAATATTTTTTGGTTGACTCGTTATTAACAGTTAATATACTTGTCTTTTAAAAAAAATATTTTTGTATATTTTGTTTACTTTTATTTTCAGATAGTTAGAGTTGAACCTATGGTATCCATGGGACAACTAACAGCTACCCTCAACCCTTTAGGATGGACGATTCCAATTTTGCCCGAAATTGATGATTTGACCGTTGGAGGCTTAGTTATGGGAACTGGAATAGAATCATCTTCTCATATTTATGGATTATTTCAACATATTTGTATCTCTTATGAGTTAGTTTTATGTGATGGACGGATTGTAAAATGCTCTGCTGAAAACGAATCGGATTTATATTGGTCAGTTCCTTGGTCTTATGGAACTTTAGGTAAATAATCAATATGCAATTATATTAGGTATTTATGTCGGCTCGATGATGTAGATGTTCGGCACCTACTAACTAGGAGACTTTAGTTCAAATCTCGGCCGCCGCGAGTATGTTATTGTCAGTATCATTATTATATGCAGATGAGCCGCCAATGACTAGGTATAAGACAATAAGGTACCTGAGGCAAATAAGGTCCACCTAAGGAACAAACTCATTTTATTTGAAAAAAAAAAAAGTTAAAATAAAATGAAAAATACACATAATCAAAAACAGTTACGCTTCTTGGAATAAATGAATACATTTCTAATAGAAATTTCTATTTTTTTTTTAATTTTTGAGCCTTTTTTAAAACGCCTGCAACGGGCCTTATTATACAACCAAGAGGGTAATAGGGCCCTTGCTTAAGATTCGATTCTTTCAAAAAGGACCACAAAATTTAACGCTTACACGTGTATTTATAAATTCAAAAATATTTTAAAAACAAAATAAACTAAAAAAAGGCAAAAATATTAGGCTTATAAAAGAAACTAAGGCATTCTAAAATAGTTCATTTTGCTCCATTATTTAAATTAGTGGGTAATGTAAACAAATTTAAAGTTTTTCCGAAAATTATAACTTTCAAACAATTCTCAATATGGGGTGGGCGACTTTCTAAAATATTTGATAAATTAATATATAAAATACATAAAAATTTGAGTTTATTTTTCTTCTTTCTTCTCCTTTGTCTGCTGTTCTCTTGTCTGTCTCTTTACTAATTAACTGCTGATTTTATTCTGAAGTTTGCATTTATTAAAATTCTCGTATTACCTACATAATATAATTCCAATTAAATACAGTCAACAATTCTGACAAACGTTTTGCCTATCTGAAAATTCTCCCGAATTAATCAAATTATATACATAATATTTTTAAACCCCACAAAGACAGAGCTACGAGTCATAGAAAGAAGAAAAATAATTGTAAGCTCCGACATACGTTAATTTTTCCAATACTTATTTTAGAAAAAAAAAATCGGGTTCACGCCATCCATACACAAAAATTGGCTTTGGCATCAATTAATTTTTGGGTATTATTATCTAAGATATTGAAAAACGCTTAGACAGTTCATTTTAGTTAATCATATCCAAAACTGTCGTCCGTCATTCCTGTCCACTCCGTCACTATAATCTATACAATTTAATTCAGGTAATATGACTATGCGAGTAAGGGAGGTGGTAGAAAAAGTCCTTTCTGTCTCACGAAGTTATTTTTAATAAGCGACCGGTTTCGAAGTGATACTTCATCATAAAGCACACCTAAATGGATGATTAAGAGCGATATCCATGGTTAGAAACTGGCTTAAAACGACTTCAAGGTTCTCTTTCTCAGTTTTAAATATTTTTTTATAAAATTTGGTATGCCTACTAAGCAAATGATAGAGAACCCCGCTGTAGAGCCCGAATTCAGAAAAACTTATTATTTAATTATTTCTATACAAATTATGAAAATTATTGCAAAAAGGAGTCTTTACCGGGAATTGTTATACAAAAATCAACTAATTCTTTCCAATACACTTTTTTGTCTAAAGCGTATATTTTTTGAAAACCTTGAATTACGAAATCTGAGAAAATCTGTCAAGTTTCGAATCCATATTAATTGATTTGGCAACAAAGCGGCGGACGTTGGCGGTGCATGCAGTACCGGAAAATTAGGATAAAAGTATTTATGTAGTCATTTAAGTCGCTTATAATGAAATTATTAAAAAACTATATTCTTTTTATTTTAAGTGTAGGTGTTTTCGTTTCGTATTTAGTTAATGTGTTTATATGAACTTTTATGTGTAAGCTGAGTTATAATAATTTGTGGTAAAAATGGGAAAACTTTCGTAAATGCCGAAAATATTTCCGTTTAGAGGGAAATCTATAATATCGTGCTAGATTACTTATAAAAAGACAAACACTAGCACCTCTTATTCCAGTCCACTTCAGTTCCTGCCCTTCTAAGCATAAAAGTCAAAATATATGGGAAATTAATATACTAAGTATTGAATAGAAAAAGAACTTTTAGCTTTAAAGCAATATTCACAAATTTAAGGCGGATGTCCAACAAATGTGGTTTATTTGTGGATGCTGAATATGGTTTTTTAGGTTCCGACGGTTTATTAGGAACCGACAGTATTATCGAAATTAAATATCTTGCCACTGCTTCAAAACTGACTCCGGAAAAAGCAATGGTTGACAACATAATAAAATTTGCAATTAATAATGATAATGGCAAAATACAATAATTGTTCAGGGGCAACTTCACGTAACTAAAGGAAATATTTGTTTTTTTTTATTATTTTGATACCTTTAAGTATGTTAGTAGAAAAAATAAAAACAGATGAAAGATTTTGGTGTATATGAAAAACAAACTAAAGCAATTTTATTTAGACTGTATACTACCCGAGATCTTAGATCCACGTTTCACTAGAGGTTTAAAAATTAGAAATCCGAGTAGAAATCCGACCAATAATCAATAAAAATTATTATTTTTATTTCTTCTTTAATAATAAATCATTTTACTCAATGTTATTTTTATATGTATATTTTTAGTACTAGAAAACATTTTTTTCTATACCCAAATGGATATTAGCGTATCTACGTACAGAATACAAAACGAAAAAATATGCTATTGCGTAAAATGAGTTATACTTGTGTAGAATCGATAAATAATAGCATTTCTAGTTTTATTTGATCTATATTTAGAAATAAATATTTATAAATTTTTGGGGGGGTGGGTGGCTCAGTGGTAGAGTCTCTGCCTGTAGATCCAAGGGTCCCAGGTTCGAATCCCACCGTTGGCCGGGATTTTTTCATTTAATTTAATTATTTAAAATTAATTCTGATGCCTTGGTAGGATTCCCCACTCGACCATTCACTGTTGGGTTCTAATTAACAGTGCTGTTTCTAAAGTGGTGCTGGGAAACAGTAACAAAGCCTACACAGAACACGAGGCTAATAACTTTAGCAGTTGATACCGATGACACCAAATTAAAAAAAAATTATAAATTTTAATAAAACTATATGAAATCAATTTAATTTATATTCACTCTTGCTACACAAACTACTATTTTCTACATCCACATGGAAATGCTTTTTTCTATACTCACATGAATATTAGCTAATCTACGCACATACTACAAAACAAAAAAGTATGCCATTGCGTTCAACTGAACGAATAAATTTCATATCCATTCTACCTACTAAGAATACTGCAAAACAGTTAAATCCACCAATCAGATTATATTTTGGTCACCCACTGCACCCAACTGCACAAACTAGTATCAAATGGATTATTATTTAAAAAACGTGTTTTTATACAGGGGATTTGTAAATAAGTACGGAATATTTTTACAAATTGTTATCAAAGTTATTTTGTTAAAAAAAGTTCCTATGAAAGTAGGTCAAAACATACTTCGTTTCCGGGATACAGAATGTTTAAATTTTAATTTAATAAATTTTATTAATTATTTCAAATAGTTTTAAAGATATTTACTCTAAATTTGCAAAAAAAACTTTGAAGAGACAAATAAGTATTTTTTGGGGTGTTCCAAATATTTCTACTTGTACCAGTGGGTTTGTGCGAGAATGCCACTTTTTTAATAAAAAAATACTGCGCCACTGACTTTTTCGATCTATATTTTTTTTTATAAAATAACTTCGGCAAACATTCCCTAAAATCATTCACACTTACCAACAAACACCCTGTACATAAGAAAATGTAGAAATAGGTACTTTTTAGATATTTTTCCGAAATAATCATAGAAAATACATATGCATATTTAAAAATATATTTCGTAAATAAATTAATTAGTTAGAAAAAAGATTTTCGAAAATGTTACACCAGGTTATACCTACCTTTAAAAAATATTTTAAACGAGAAAACAAAACAGAAATACTCTTTGTTAGACCGGATCTGCGATTTATTGGCCTTTTTTATATTTTAAATCATCTATAGTTTATAAGTAATAAATTGAAGGGAGCGTAAGTCAGGGAATAGAGCAACGTTGCCAAAGTGGGTTCAGATGCACTAAAAGTTGTCAGTGTGTTTTAAACCTGAATTTGCTATTAGGTAGCGCATGGATATCGCTCTTAAGGAGTCAATGTAGTGCATAGTAAAAAAATTAAAAAGGAAAATGATGAAAATTTACAAAACCAATATACTAAGAGTAAAAAAGTATTTAATTATCCACTACGGATCAGCTACTTAGGGTAAATTGACACTACAAGAAACATTTATCTGCTGAACATTCTAATTTTATTTAAAAAATATTTATTTTTACAACAGTCAATTGATTTAAATTTTAAATAAAAAAAGTTACATTTTACAAAAAATATTAGGTAAGACAAAACACAATACAATTTCATCATACACTATCATTAGTTCTTGGACAATCGTTTAATTTTTCTAAAACAAAAACTATAAAAATATTATGTGATACTTTAGTTCGACTAAAGCCAAAACGCAGGTGCATTTGGATTCCATCGAGGTGCAAAATAAATATCCTCGTTATCTGTAATGTAAAAAACATCATTGTTGTCCAGGTGACTAAACTTCGGGAAGAATGTGAAATTATTCACCGATGAGTCGACGTCAGTTAACGCTTATGATTTTTATTTACTAAATAATTAATAATACAATAGGAATAAAACACCTCGAAATTGATACCACAAATTATTACTGAGGTATCGATTTCAAGGTGTTTGGTTCTTGTTTGGAACATCTATCTATAAATATAGGAACCGTATTTAACTTAGTTTACTTCCATCTTATTCCATATGCGCATGTCGAGTGTAATTCACTCTTGCTAAATAGCTGGTGGAGAAAGTATCCACCAGTTGACACCACACCAACGACCGAAAGGTGTAGTGGATTTTATATCGGGCCAAACGAAAGGTATAGTGTCCATTAGATTAGATTTAATTAGGACTCTCCCACCTCGAACTTCTCAGGTCTATTGTGGATATCCTTTAATCGTT